ATAAATCACCAAGCTGAGGTTAAGTGTTTTGCTGTTTGTTGAAAATGAAGCCCTGGTTTTTCTGAGTGGAGAGTTCAGTTAAGGTTTTTGGGGTCTGGAACAAGGAGGCTCCATTTCGGCGCTACACATGAGTTTAATCAACATTTCGGGGAACCACTGAAAGTCCTGAGCCTGTCTCAAAAAGAGGCCGCTTGCTACGAAGGAACTCGACTTTTTATCAGCCTGGTGTGTTTCCCATTACCCGGCTTCTCTCTGTGGTTTGCTTTGGGATGCACAGGTCCAGCTCAGTACAAGAGAGTTTCAATTAATGGACTAAACTTTGCCACAAATGTATATAGAAAGCAGGCGCTGCCACAAGTCTTCACTTGGCACTGCCAAGACAAGGAGGCAAAAAAAAGAGAGAAAGTTGGAGAAAGGGGTTGTCCACAATACGCAAAGCATTTGACTCAAATCAAGAAAATGCGTCTGGGTTCTAAGGAGACAAAGAATATGGCGTCATGTAAAGTGAAAACATATTTTTTATCCCCCCCCCCCTCTCTGCCTTTGGGGTTGTGGAGGCTTTGGCAGCTCCCACTGTAACAATAACCTCCCAGCATTGATGCTGCGAGTCCACGCGCCAGCTTGCTGGTCCATCCCTCTGTCTACTGTTTTCCCAGAGAGGGCCTCGCTGGGTTCATCCACACGCTTGGCAGTCACTGTGCCAACGACTCCAACAATGCTCTTGACCAGGAGAGGAATGTGTCGGACTCGGGCCTGGATAACTTCTTCACCCACACACTGTTTTCTACTGCTCCCAGTATCTGACATTGGAACTCTTGAGCTCCTCAAACACAATGTGTCTGTTCTGCAGGCATCTCTCTCTGTCTTTGGGCCCCTTTATGGAAATGTTTGGCAGCAAGACCACCTCTTTGTGGCGTGTGTGTGCGCATGTCATTTGTAAGCACAGAGGGCAGCTGTAAAGCAAAGTCAAGTGGCACATTCATACTCACAGTGCCCAAACAGCGGATGGATGGGATAGAGGGATGATTTCTGGCTGTTTCTGTCAGCTGCAGCGAGTGGGAGGTTGAGAGGAGAAGAAAGGCTATGCTCCAGTCAGCTTTGGGACCTATTAGCATTTGGATAAGCTCAGAAAGCTCCCAGCGGCCTTGCCACACAGAGAGTGGTCGGGTCTATGCGCCTGTACTGCTTCAGCTATAAGCCGAGTCCTGTCAATGGACCCATTGTGCAGGACCGGCCGCCGGGATGTCTGACGGCCTTTATCTCCCTGGTCCTCGCTCTGCTTGAAAGTAGCATGCCGGCTTCCTTGGCACTCCAACCCGAGCATCCATCTTGTCATTTGGCAACTGATTGCTGATAAGAATGGCTTTGTTCATTTTGTCTGTTTCGTCTGTTCACTGTGAGGATGACTAACTCTGAAGTGATTTGTGTCAGTTGCTTAATGCCAAGGCCAACGACTCATTATTAGTGAAGTGCAAAGCATGTCATTTGAAGTGGTCAAAAGTCATTGACAAACTGCTGTTGTCATTTAATGGGTACTGTTTGTTCCATAACACCATCCAGTCCAGCATGTTGGCCAGAATCACTCTTCTGGATGATCCGCTGTCAGTTCATCCATTTCCAGCAGTTCTGTTTCATTTGTCCTCTTTCTACAATACTCTTTCTACACCAAAAACTGATTGCTCCCTCTGATCTTCTCCAAACATCTCTTGAGGCCAATGCTGTGATTTACTTTGTGTCTGGCCAGCCGTTCCTGCCGTCAGCTGGGAAAGTCAAGATTGGACCTCTGACTCTAGTGCTCTCTCCCTTTTCTCTTTCCATCTGTCTGGGTGGAACTCAGTGATGAATGTCCTTGATTTGTTCTTCTCACCAGCTCCTGGTTGTCTTTGGAAGATACAGCTGTTTGTGCTCCTGCAACTGATAGCTTGCATTGTGCGACTGCAGGCCAGAGCAAACACACAGGTCAGCAATATGTGTGCAACGTAGCTAGCTACTTAGGGCCATTGCAGTTGGGCAATGTCGAAGAGGATTAACTTGTATGTAGCATTTGTCTCCGTTTTCCCAAGTCAACTTACTGAGAAAATAAAGCCAGATGGACAAGTTCTTGCACTGTTTTTTTTTTTCAGTTTTAATTACTTGCAGCTTGATGATCGATTGTATTACTGTTTGAACTACAATGAATCTATGCAATGACGAATCAGTGAAGTTAAACAAAAGTTTCTGGCTTGAAAAGTCTGAGACTTGGTGTCATTGTTTGTGTCCATTCTCAGTTTTGGCACACATTTTTGTGTGTAAATTATTGAGTTATGTTAGACGTTGCTTTAAAAAGACTCAAGATTTCTTAGAAAGACCTCAGAGGGGGTCTCGACATAGCACAAGGAAGTTCCCTGTGTATTTCTGCATGTGTGTGAGTGAGTGTGAGTGTGTGTGTGTGTGTGTGTGTGTGTGTGTGTGAGTCACTGGCTCCTGTTGGTCTGTGTCTGCAGACCCACAAATAAACAGCACTAAGCCAGCTGGAAATGGGGAAAAGCACAGGCTTCTCTCAGTCTGCATACGGGTTAATACAGTTCATGGGAAAAGGAAGCAAACACCCACACATACTGTACATGTAGTAGCACATGAACATGACAACACATCTACTCTTCATCTATGCCTTTGAATTTCTCCATCCTCCCTGCCCAGGTGTATGTGATGGATGGACACCGTCTTTTTTATGCAGTGTTTGAACCGGCACCAGATTATGTGCGTGTGCATGCAGGTAAACATCTGTGCCTTCAGACTCCCACTCATCCTCGCATGCAGGGGTCACATGAGCCGGGTTCATCTGTGCCAACACGGAGAGCTTCCTTGACCTTTTGGGTCTTGTTAAAGGTTCTCTTGGAGGAAACACTGAGAGGGCTTTGTCCACTGGAGCCCAGCTGTGCCTGTGTCCGCCCTGCTCACAGCCTATTCTCTCTTCTGTCAGTCTGTGTGTCTCTGTACTGGCAGTCGGGTTAAGACAGTAGGGTGACCCACCTGGACTTGTCTGCTGAGAAGTAGAAATCTCTGTTGGAGAACAAACAGGATTCGTTAGGTGCTGTACAGATGGAGCACTTGTACAAATATAGATTGAGTCAAAATAACTTGGACAGCAATACTTCTTCTTTGCCACCTTTAAATTTACAGGTAACTTTGGAGGTGGTCGAAAATGTGGCATATCTTTCTGTAAAACTCTGGCAAAAATTGTAATAGCCACACTTTTGATTCACTAACTTTTACTTTGCCTCTTGGAAATCCCCATCTCTAAATTTCTTGCCAAAATTGTAACCACAAGGTCACAGGTTTGAGCCCTACAACAGCAGATGTGTCCATCACCAGCCATCTGTCCTGTCAGGATGTCCTTGAACAGAAGACTGGACCCCTACCTGTTCGCTTGCTGTAAGCAGAAGGGAAGAGGAATATCAGATAAAACCGAGAATTAAACTTGTGACCGTGTTTTAATCCACCCATCACGATTTACCTCGCGAAACTAGGCTGACTGGGAACATTTTGGACAGTTTGCTAACTCGATTGGCTTAGTTGATAGTTCGGATTATTAGCTAACAGTGAGCTGTGTTGAACCATCGCCAGATGCTGACCTCACGCTGACATAGCCAGCGTGCTGCAGTGATAGTACTAATCATTCAATCAAGTCACAGAAAGGCCAGCCTGTGTTCACTCTCAAACACAGCTCAGGCTCAGGGGGGAAAAACCCAACTCATCAGCCCATGTTCTCTGCATACCAGCACATAGACTGGGTGATGATCGCGGGGAGGAGGGGGAGAGGGCGTTGAAGTGGAAGGAGGAAAGGTTAAGAGAGAAAATCATCCAATGAGGAAAAAGATGAAGGGGTTCGGATGAAAAATGGAAGCAGAGATGCGAAAAAATGTCTGCTCCCTGCTGAAGTCTCCTCATTCATCTGATAAGAGCGGCACACTCTGGTGATGAATGGCCGGTGTCAAAAGTCACTCTGAGTTTCATATTTTCATGTCTGAATGATGGGATTAACGAGATGTGCTGATTGCTCTGGGTGGTTTCTGTTTGCTTTTCTTGTAGCCTCTGCCACATGTTAGACTGCCCTTGATTAAACTGATATCTTTTTTAACCGTGTGCCGCTGAAACTGGATTTCCAGCCACACTTCCGTATTGATTCTCAGAATTCATCATTTCAGAAACTACTTGGCCATCTCTAAACTACTGGTTTTAAGCATTTGTCTTTCTGTATGGAGCCAGAGTTTGAGACATTTTTTTAATCAATTTAAACTGAAGGCTGGGTTTATAAATGGATATGACATTCTTAAAATGATATAGTGTTATTTTCTCTGCAGCGAAGACGGGAAAACTATCTCACAGTAATGGAACAATCTCCAAACACGGTGTTTACTTAGCTTCTGCGACAACAAACATCATGTTAACTGTGGCAGCGCATCATGAAGCACTTCCGTTTGTTGCTTGCTAAATTACCCTGATTGTCATCTTCTCAGGTTTCCTCCTCTGCTGAGAAAAGATAACATCCCTCTCTCTATCTGTCCTCAAACATCCCCTCTTTCACTATCTCGCCTTCTCTAAATCCAGTTATCTCTCCGCTCTCATGATGATGATGACCGTTGCATATCTCTTCAATCTAAACAACGTGCTTGCTGTTTCCCTTTTTCTTGTTTTATCAGTGTGATGCTTTGAGTTTTTTTTCACCCCGGAAATAGCAGTTCTGCAAAATTGACATGTTTCATATTTGTGTCATATGCTTATAAGACTGCAATATTGTCTTTAATAAGCATTATGTTTTTGCAAGGTAGAGAACAATACATCTCAGTCTTACTGAAACTTGTTTGCTTTAATTAAATCCTGTTGGTGCAGATTTTGAATGTCTTTGGATTCAACAACAAATCATGTTTTAAATTAGCAATATTTGTGAATAATTATTAGGCTGGATGGATCAAGCAAAGCTATAACGACATTAACCTGTTGGTCTTTTTTCTCTGAAGAATCTCCAAGAGCATCCCCGCCACCAAAGACGTTGAACCGCTGCTGGAGATCGATGGAGACATACGCAGCTTCGAGGTCTTCCTCTCATCCAGGACGCCCGTCTTAACTGCCAGAGATGTGGAGATGTTCTTGCCCTGCACAGTCAACCTGGACCCCAAACTCAGGGAGATCATTGCAGGTTCATACACACTTTTTGTTTGGGTTGGTTGAAAATATGTCTGAGATAGGTGTTTGGCCACCACAGCTTTAGTGCACCTTAGCATAGATTCTACAAATCTCTGTTGCCGGTATTCATATTCTTCCCACAGATATTCCATCATTTTGTTTTTAATGATGGTGTTGGATTGTGCTGTTTAACGAGTCAAAGTTGCCTCCCACAGACAAAGTAAGTAGTAAGTAAGTAAAGACTGTCCGTCACATTCTTGTGAATTTTGGTGAGTTTCTCCAGATTGGTATTTGTGTTTACATGCACTAGACTAGAGGATGATCTACTTAGATATTCTGCGGTCAAATGTCAGACTTCATTATTGTCTCCAAAAACACATTTTTGGCCAAATCGCATTTGTATATGTGGTCATGATGAAAACAATAACCACAAATGTCAAATAGGACAAAATGATGTAGGGTCAAGATCCTTCTCTATACCCAATCTTAAACTTCACAACTCTGAAAACTGATTTGGTCACACGTATCTTGTACGATCACCTTGAATTTCTGCAGAATGTTTTGATCTTCTTTGCGTGTTTTTGAATTTGAAGACAACGCTCTCGGGGAGACATCCATATTTGAAGCATTTTCTTTTGTGTTGACGTCAACCGAATGTTCTATTAAAAAATAACTTTGTAGGCAAAATATGCAAAAACATAAATTACATTTATATAGTTTTTTTTTTTTTTTTTAAACCAGTCAAATCAAATGTATCTGATACATCACAGAACCGACACGTGCCCAATTTTGGTTTAGTCCAGTTTCTTCTAAGCTCAAAGGGGTTTTGTTACTGCATGCGTGCGTGCGTGCGTGTGTGAGAGATGGAGGTTAATTGTACAGTTTGTGTAAAGAATATTAAAGGGTTAGATGTACAATGTGAAACAAAGAACTTTTCTCTTTGTGATGTTTTGCGTTCATTGCCAGCTCATTTGGCAGTGACACTACTCACAACACTGCAGCCGGGTCTGATCTAAAATCACCCACTGAAGGGGCTCTCGCTCAGCCTCAGCTCGTTCCTCATTTCCAAACAATCAAATGTCGAGCAGGTTTCCACCGAAGTGCTGAGGGATCGGGACAATATATTCACTTGTGTCACCAATCTGCCTCCAGTGCTACAACAAATTTCACAGTTTGTAGTGACAGTGACGTCATAGAGCATCAGTATTAAACTGCCATCCAGAGCTGCGCTGTACTTCTGCTACTGTGCGTCAGTGTCCATTCAGCCTATGCAGGAGTGTCAATGACGTCTGGTGTGAAGCTGTTACTTCATAGTGTTATGAGACCACAGAAAACACACAAACTCACACACAAAGTCTGTTCCATTGAGCCAAGGTTGAGTCACGGAGGGCGCAGCTGACCAAGCTCTATGACCAGGCGTCCAGTCGTTAAGCAAAAGAACAGGACTGTGAGCTAAAAGTGTGTAGATGTGTCTAATTTCCACCACAACATGTGTTTATTTGTATGCTCTAAAGTAGTTGGGTGCTTTCACCTTCACACGTGTCCCCCAGGGAGCGGACGATGACCAACGCTCCTACCTAGCCGCCCTGCTCCCTCCACTCCCACTGTGGCCAGTCCTCACTCGTTGCCCGGCGTCCTGTGGCCAGCCAGTGGGTAGTGCTGTCAGTGATACCCGCCCATGAGCCTGACTCACATCATAAGGCCCCCATTGTGTTTGCAGGCTGGATTGGGTCTCACTCAGCGTGTCATTCAGCAACCACTTGTATAACCAGGAGACATTCTGGTGCCTGCTTCTGTTTCTGGTTCTTACTTTCTTGCCAGCCACACAGAGCCACTGTGTTCTTTCTCCCGGCCTGTTTCACTTTAATTTGGGAGGTTTTTCCCAAAGTTTCTCTCCTCCACTCCTTCTCCAATAGAAGTCAAACTGATTTATGCAGTTCATGTGCAGCGTCCATCAGTTCCCATGATCTACTTTTGTTTGTTTACGTGGGTGAATTTATTTGAGGGACAAACAAGGGGCTTCATGTGCCAGAGGCATCACATGGTCGGTTTAACATTTGGTAAAGACAGAATATGGGCACGCCTGCTGGTTTGTGAGTAAACTGAGTAATAGAAATCAAAGTGAGAATGGAATTCACAGTTGAAGATCGATGTAATTGTAACATCTGCGCCCTTTTTCTTTCCAGCATTTAGTTCTTTGATTGTTTTCTATTTCGAGAGAAGGAGAACATGCTCAGACACAACGTTCTTGTTTTATTCCATGCTGTGCTCTTGTGTACGTCGATTGTTTGATATCTATTTTTCTCTTTGGAATCACCACTGTCTTCACTCTCAGGAGACGTTGAAATTATTGATGCGTGGGTGGATCTGAAGGGTCTTTATAGTCATAGCCAAGATGATCATCAGCATCTCAGATAAAAAAAAAAAAACCCTTCCTTCTCTCTTCCTCTCTTCTTATTTCTACTCCCTGGCTCTGTCCTCTCTTAGATGTGCGTGCAGCCAGAGAGCAGATGCACATGGGAGGAGTGACCTATCCCACGCTGTCCCTGCAGGACCCAGGGCCCCGTCCACAGTCAGGTTACAGCCAGCTCTCTGCCCACTGCTCCCCTACAGGCTCCTTTCCAGGGACCCTGCCTCCTCAGCCCCACAGCGCTTACTTCAGCGGGATGACGGGCCCTCAGCACCCATTCTACAACCGGGTGAGCCGAAGAGGACTTGTGTTTATATAAACAGTACTCCTGTTGTATACTGGAGTCCATCAGGTGTCCCAAGTTAGTCAGTATATTTTCTATTTTTAAAGATAAACTCATTGATCCCGACAACCACCAACAACAACTACAACCATTGTTTTTAAAAAAAAAAGACCCTTTCTGAATTTAGCTGCTCAGTCCAGTATTACACTGACCTACTGTACCCCATTTTATTGAAAAGGAATGAAGAAGTTCCCATATTTGTATTCATCCCTGCAGTATTTTATGATTTTGAGTGCCTAACCTCCCTCATATGATTTTCATTTTATTTGTACCTGCTCTCCCCTCCTCTTCCCTGCCCACATCCTCTCCTCTCCCCTCATAGCCTTATTTCCCCCACCATGTGTATCACCTGCCTCGGCATTACTCCAACCATGCCCCCTCATCCCTGCGCCCCTCCATTAAACCACCCGGTCAGACTATGGACAACACCACTGGACTTGTAAGTAAAGAGGAAGTAGACAAAAAAAAACAGCTGCAGATGAACTCATTGTTGAAAAAATGATATTATGCAACAATTATAGAAAATTGAAGTCTGTTTCGTAATTCTGTTTAAAAAGAAATCATACTGTTTTACAGCACTACCAGTTATGAGAAATTGTGTTCCTTATTTGTATGAAATATTCTAAGAAGGATTACAATTGCAAGAACTCTGCTGAATCAACCAACTGCACCACAAAGTCAGACATCTTTTCCTTTTACAAACACTTCCTCCCCTCTCCATTACCCTTTTTTCCCCTTTTCCTCAGTTTAATATCACACGTTTTACCTTTACATTTTAACACCCCGCACTTTTCACTGCCCTGTGCCGAACCACTGTCCAATCCTGATGGTGTTTGGGTTATCTTTACCTTGAAATGACCTCGTCCTTTATCAGCCTTTCTTCTCTCCACAACCCTTGTCTATACTCTATGCTTGTGTCAGGATGTTATTGCAGAGGACACCAGAGAAGGCCTCCCCTCCTGTCCCTCTGAACCTAACATGGTAACATGTAGTTAAAGCTGCATATTTGCACATATGCAGCTCGTCCGTTATTATATGCCTGTTAACATGATGCTTAAGCCTCGTTTTTTTTTTTTAATTTCTTGTGTTGCCTGCAAAAAAAAAATGCACGCCTGTATGTTTCCCAGAATTCTTCTAAAGCTCCTGTGGTTTACAAAAAGCAGACACACAGTCACTCAAACACATAAAGCTGCATCTGGTGTGAAAATGACTTCCCTTTAACAAATGAGAGCCGTGGTTTTTTTTGTCACTAACTTCCGCGTATGTATATATATCATGCTGATGAAGTTCACTGCCATGGTAGCAGTTCCCATTTTGTTTCAAATGGACAAAAAAAGTGCTTTTAACCCACTTACACTGTGCTCCGAGTTTCTCTGACAAGAGCTGAAACTCTCCAACCCAGATATTCACACATTCTGAGAGAAAGCTGCCACTATTAGAACAATTTGAAGATAACGCTCCTCAGGAGATTTCTGCTCCACAAAGCCACTTATCAGACACTGCCAGCACGCATTTGAAGGAGCCGGATGAAAGATTTAAATATAGATTACTAAGTAATGTTCCTTCGCTTCTCACTCTGTATTTTTATGTCTTTAATTTTTTTTTTTTTGCTTCAGTCTTCCTCCTCTTCTTTAAACCTTCTGCTTCTCAGATTCTTTCCTCATATCGGTCCTTTATGTTATTTTTCCCTTCGCCCTACGTATACATCTTCTCAGTTTCATCCCATTCCGGCTTCCCAGCTACATTAGCCCATCTTATCCCTTTTCTGGTTCACACTTGATCTCTTTGTGTTGTGTTAATGTGTGCCTGTATTTCTTCAAATCTCATGAATGTGGATGTGTGTGCAGCACACCGGCTCATTTGTGTAAGTCTTTGAATATGTAAGCAGGCATAGCCCAGTGTAATTGCTTAGCTGATATAAGTGCAAGTATGGAATCCTCTGGCTGCCAGGATTATCATCAGAGCAACTGTTGGGGCTGGCGACACACACACGCACACACACACATACACACACACACACACACACACACACACACACACACAGTGACAAAGAGCCCAGCGCTGGTAGAGCTTATCTCCTTACCAAGACGCTTCCTCCCTCACAGAGCTCTGTTTCCCCTTCCCCATCCTCCTGCCCAGCCCTGAGCTCAGCCCAGCTGTAATTACACTCTTATCAAACACACACACTGGGAGGGTTCACACAAACACACACACACACATGCTCACTCACATTCATGCTCTCGCTCACATTCTTAGAATACACGTTAGCAGTCTGAATCGACGAGTCGTATTCAAGACCTTTCCTGAATTGAAAATTCTGCTTTTTTTTCCGTGCAGAGTGGGTGATGCCTCGTTCTCTTTCTGAGTCTTTTTCTCTGTCTCCGTCTCGTCTCTAGTCATTTCTAGCTGCAACCATAACGACTGTAATATTCTACTGACTTCAGTGAAAACGAAACATATCCTTGTGTAATAATTCTACTTCCTACAGCCTCTTCCATTACAGTTGTCTGCTCACCTGCTGCAAGACAGATGTCCCCTGATCATGACTTCTACATGCCTTTCGGCCCGCCTGTCTGTTTTTTCTGTTCTTTTGTCACATGTACATGCTGGGCTTCACAGTACTATATGTGCCTCTGTGTATTTTTGTCTGAGTATTTATCTATTTGCTTTTATTTGTCTCCTTTTCAAGCATTTAAAGTCGCTGCCTTGCAAATTAAAGCAGGTACCCCTTTGGTTTCACGGCTACTTTTGTCATCCGACCCTTAACTCCATCCTCCATGTATCTCTACCTCATTTCTAACACACTGGTCAGTACTACAAAGCATGCCATAGAAGGAGATATCGTAGAATGACTTGAAGTAGATCATCAAATAGATGCACAACACAACTTCTTGTATAGTAGTTTTCCAGTAGTTTCACTAACTTAGATTGATTCCTGAGGAGATCCATAAGGAAGAGTAGTTTAACTCCCTGAGTGCCAGTCTTCATCCTATTGCCTGCTACTACAGAAAGGTGGCACCCACTGTTGTGTACTGAAATGTGTGCGCTGCTTATTTTCTTCTCAACCACTCACAGTCGGAATAAGCTCTGCTCTTCTCTCCCTTGAAACCAGAAACAATGATGTGGGGGGGGGGGGCTTAGTCATAAGCCACGTCTTGATAGTGCTAATAGCAGAGAGAGAGCAGAGATGACTAGGGAGGGAGGGAGGGAGGGATGGGGCGAGAGAGAAACATAGTGATGGAAAAGAGAGGAGGAGGCCAGCAGAGGAGGCTTTGAGGGGAAGGAATGTTGGGAGGAAGGAAGAGAGGAAGGGAAGGAAGCAGAGACTGAGTGAGAGAGGGGAGGTAGGAGGGAGGCGGAGCGGGGTCGAAGTGGTTGGATGAGGTTTGTTTTGTTTTTGTGCCAGCGGGTGGCATGTTGGCAGTGTGTGAGGCCTCACGCAGCATCAACAGGCCGCTGGTTTGAGTCACATCAGGCCGCTTCAAGACTCACAGACTTACAGTCTCCATCTTTTAAGTGTTGTGCACACACTTAACGGGCTTATGTATACAGAGAGAGAGAGAATAAGAGCAGGTAACAGTGTATTTAGATGTTGGCAGCTTTGTTTACTTTGACACTTGCACTGTGTGACTGATAGAAAGAATTACTGTTGCCTTTTCTTTTTGCACCCTCTGTTTGTCTCACCGTAGCAGGCCTGCACGTCTCCTTGCCAGGAATTGTTGCTCGTTTTGCCCGAATCGGTGTTTTAGCAGTGATGAGTTAGGCTAACAGAATGTGCTAACAATGCAGGTGTTTGCCCTGGTAACCTTAACTCATGAAAAAGAAAACAACACAATCTTGCTCAGTTGTTTATATTATCATTATCCACGTGTGTGTGTGTGTGTGTGTGCGTTTGTGTAGGTTTCTCCTGCTGCCCTGCTCAGCTCTATGAACACGGATGCAGTGTGCGAGCATCTCAAACAGATTGACGGCATCGACACCAGCATGCTGCCTCAGTACATCTCCACCGTCAAGAAGGTGCGTCGGTCTCACCCTTCAAAAAAAAAAAAAAGTATCCTTTCAGTTTCCTGTACATGACATTCGTTTCAATCATTTGGTCTGATACTTTCTGTGAAGTGATTCTGAGAGTAGCAATACACTTCAGTTGTCACAATTCGATGTTTGGTGATACTTCATCAATTCTCAAACATGTTTCTTTTATTTTTGTGTTATAGTGCATATGCAAGATTTTTTTTTTAACCGTGCTTTAGGTGAAGTTTAAATCCTTTTTTTCAGAGTGCACTAAAAGTAGTGCTGTGATGTTGGATGTCGAAGGAACTTTGATGAATACAAACACAAATCCCGCTGTTGTGATTGAATTAAAGAAGTTTACTTTTCTAAACTGATTTTCTCAATATGGCAGCGTTTTCTTCAAAATAGTTTGAAAAAAACTGCAGTATATGGCCCTGCTAACAGTGAAACATACACCTTTATATATTCAGACATATCTTGTCAAACAAAAACTGTAGCCAATCTGCTACCATATTAAAGTATAGCTGCTCATGTTGTTCCTCCATCTTTGATTGACTCATTTCATAAACTGTTTACCTGATATAACTTTGCACATGAACAAACCCTTTAAAACCTTTCCTGTTTGTCTGTTGCAGGCTAATATTAATGGCCGAGTGTTATCTCAGTGCAACGTGGACGAGCTGAAGAAAGAGATGGAAATGAACTTTGGGGACTGGCAGCTCTTCAGGGGAACGGTGAGACAAACTCTTTCTTTTGAAGCGTCTCACAGCATGCTTTCATTTTTGTTGTTGTGGGCGTCTTGCATGTATATACATTTCTATATGTAAATGAGAATAAATGAGCTGTAAAAGCAAAGAAACTGGGCCATCAGTTTAGAAAAGCATCAGTCCACCAACCAGAAATGTCCAACCGCTCCTCCATTAGTCCAATGTAAAAGCATGAAAGATTTACACAAAGATGTATAGAATATGTTCTCCTCCATGTGTGATACTCTGCCCTCTCACAGCTCTCCTCTTGATCTCTGTCATCACTTGTTTCATCCAAAACGAAGCCTGACAGTGTCTTCTAATACAACATCTTGTGCTCTGCTGAGATATTTTATAATCCGTATTATGAGAAAGCCGCCAGTCAGACAGCAAGGAGTCCACTCGGCTGAAATCACTAACACATGTAGCCGGCTCCACTTCGTCAGACGTCAGCCTGTGCTCCTAATTCCAAACCAAAGAGCGCTGGATTGGTCGTGTTTTACAGGAGATCCAATGTAGCGCTCGCTTAGCAGCAGCTGGCCTTACAGCTCCGTGTACTTACCAGTGTTGTGTTGCCAGGATGCAGCCAGCACAAACATCTGGTTCAAGATGGCCGACTGATATCTGGATGAAGGGAGGTTATTGTCGGGGAGAAGTGGACAGCTGAATGGCTCTCCTTAATGAACAGCTCATTCTCACATGCACATGTTTAGCTGTTTCTTGTTTCGTCTGTCACGTGCTCTAAAGAATTTGTTTACCCATTATTGTGTCTTCTCAAACATAAGTCAAATGATGATGTTTTTTTGTGCCAGCTGATGGAACAGCGTCACGCTGAAAGCCAGGCTCTCCTTCAGGATGAGTCCCGAGCTGTGAGCGAGCAGGGCAGCAGCGTGCACCACGCCGAGCCCAACAGACGCTCAGGGGGAGCCCAGCATGAAGCGACGGCCTTCAGCCTCAACCTCAGCTTCGAGGAGCTCAGCGGAGCCGGGCTGGAGGAACCACAGAGACACAGCAACAACTCTCATTGGCCGGTCAGTGTCACTCTGGGGAGCTTTACCTAAATTTACCAAAACAGCAGGTACAGAAGCAGCGTGTATGCGCTCAAAGTTGCTGGTGTAAGCAGAAGTGTGAGCGTGTAACAATCGCAAATGGGATTGCAAGGTCACACACCCTAAACTGTCGCACAGCCACCAAGCTAATGTGTTGGTGACCTCAGTGGTTTCCCGTGAGTGTGGTCTACAGAGAAAAATGCACAGCAGAGGAAACTTATGGTGTTCTTTAACACTGCAGAATTAAAAATACACACACACACACACTGCAGAGCACAAAAAGGTGTCAAGAGGCCCCTTGTTTTTTATTTTCGCCTTTCCTTTTTCTAGTTTGCAAAATTTCTTCGACACATGCAGACACTCACCCGCGGACAGCTGGCTCGACTGCTGTTTTATAATCTCACTTACTGATCTGATTCAATTCAATTATCAAACACCGATATTTGCCTGTAACTTTTTTTACTGCATCCAACCTCATGCTCAAAACATTTCTTTTTTTTTTTACTAATCTGGTTATAACATTTTTAGTGTTGTTATTACCGCAACACTATAAAGGTTGTTATTACCGCAACACTATAAAGGTGTATATAAAGTATATAAATATACTACATATATAAAGGTGTCACTTCAGGCTGTCTGTTAAACTCAAAAACTTGAGTGTAATATTTTTGGTCAGCGAAGACATATGGACACATTTATTCCACCTTTGTCCCTCCCGTCAGGTGGTGAATCACCGCACCTCCAGCATGTCCAGTCTCAACTCTCAGGAATCCTCCAATGACATCTGTAAGCTGACAGACAAGCAGCAGGCCGAGTATCGTGATGCCTACAGGGAGTACATCGCTCAGATGGCCACACTGGAGATGTCCGGCGGTGCGGGGGAGAGGCCCGTGCAGCCCCACCCGGGACAGTTCCTGCAGGCTGCCAGCTCAGATGACAAAGGGGTGGGTGGACCGTCACAAGTACCCTGTTTGTTTTGTGTCATTGCATCACTTACAGCATGAGTAGTTCAGTCAAGTCACCGTAGGACGGATTGTAGAAAAATGTGGTAACTGCTGTCACTGACTTGTCTCTAAGCGCGCTATGATTTGTCTTTCTGAAGCATGTGGTTTTAAATGTTATATTCCTCTGGCCTGTACTATGGCTAAATTCTCATTCTGGGAGATCACATCTTCTTGTATTTCTTAATTATTGGCTTAAACTCTTTGTTTCTCTTGGCACACAACAGAGAGACAAGAATCCCCTCTCCAGGAGAGTCTGTATATTTTCATGTTCTCCTCATTGGATCCTCTTTCCTTTCCTCAGGCCAAGGAAGGAGCTGATCAAGACAGCCGTAAGCCCTTCACCAAGAGAGGCTCCAAGGCGGGCGATGCCACAGATTTCCCCTCAGGGACCGACGCCCAGGCCCTCGACCCCATCAGTGAGGAGGATGAGAAGTTGGACCACAGCGCTTCCTCCAGGACTCCAGCCTCCAGGAAGAAGGGAGCGGGGGCCTTGTACCACAAGCTGCCCAGTGATGAAGACTCCAGTCCAGAAGAAGCTGACAACACCACACCTCTCCTCCACAGAGAGCCCGGTGCTCCCAACACCCTCAGGGGCTCCCAGCCCACCGGGCTGCTCACCAAGCCTGGCTTCCTCTCTGAAATCCTGCTGGACAAGAAGGACTCGTCGGACTCAGGGATGCGATCCAGCGACAGCTCCCTGGAGGACCCTGAAGGAGACGCTGACAGAGATGGTGGAGCACAGAAGGCCAGTCTGATCGAGCTGGAGCTGGAGGGTCTGGTGAAGAAGAGAGGCCTCCTCCCGAGCAGCCTGAGCGGCCTGCAGGACACCACGGTGGCCCGTATGTCCATCTGCTCTGAGGCCCCGTCAGAGGCCAGCCTGATGGCCAGCAGCCCGGACGAGGGGTGGCCGTCCAGCGAGGTCAGCAACCTGAACCGCACTGACAGCAACACCACTCTCAACAACAACACAAACAGCCCCAGTGACGCCAACACAACCAACAGTAACACCAACAACAGCCATCAGCAGCAGTCCACCTGCTCTTCCTCCAATACCGACGTGTCTCCAGCTGTCATCACCATCACCCCCGGCAGCAGCAGCACTGCCAACACCACCATGGCCACCGTCCACAACCAAAACCTGCGCACCATCAGTCTGGGAGATGAGAGGGAGAGCGTCCTCTGAGGAAGCCTGTGTTACTATGAGATGGGTCACATAGACTAGTTTTTCGATGTTGTTGTTGGTAGCGTAATACTTTTGCTGTTGTGGTGTGCTAGAAAGAGTCGCAGTAGATATGTGTTCTCAAGTGTTAGGAAGGAAAGGTTCCGAGTGTTGCTGTGAAACAAAAGTAGTGCATACGAAAGCTTTAAAGACTTCATTAGCAACAAAACAATCAACTTTAATTTAAACTGTCTGACATGTTGATAATGATTTTGGCTTTAAGAAAACCAAAAATGCATTATTAAGGTCAAGTTTTGATCCTTTTGAGTGTTTTTATGTTGCATGACATTTTGCCGCCCCACAATTTCGCCTCATTTCTGTGTGGTTTGTTCCTCATGCGATTGTGGTGCTGTTACAGAAAGTGTTTAGGTACGAAATGTTGTTAAATGTTGTGGACATCGTGTGTTACAGAAAAATAAATTCAGGAAATGTAGCCATGGCTGAAAGACTCTTAAGTTGCTGAGAACTTGAGTCCCTGAAGTGTTTGTGTGTAGCTGTGTTGGGTAGTTAGAACATCATTAAATAGATGGCAGTGTAGACAGTGGTGTGCTAGGGTGTGTTGCTGGCAGATTCGGTGATAGAAGAAATGCATGAACTCGTCTCCAAAGTGGTGTTTGTCTTATCGAAAAATCCTTTTGAGGTGGTGTTTGTGAACCAATAAACATTTTCACTATGTTGACCCTTGAAATGAGTCTCCTGTTTTTCTGTTTCTTTCTTGCAGGAAATCAGCTGTTGGTAGAGTGAGGTCTCACCAAACATGGATTTCCATTTTGATAGGATCAGAAAATTCTAACTTAAGTTTTTCTTTCACTGGTCAAAAATGTTATCGAATGCAGGAGTGAAAGAAGAGAGGGCGCTAAAGGCAGGATATATTTTTGACCGATAGATGGCGCACTCTTCATACAAACGTGTTCCAGGCTGCTGCCACAGACGCTGCCTGTCAGTATCAGAAACTGTCGAGGATGACAACTACAACTCTCAATGTCAGGGTCTGTAAGGGTTCTTTTCATCTAGAAATGACTTTATAGTTTGCAACTGCTCAGTTAAAGAGTGTTCTTATCCTGCAGCTTACACACATGTCAAATCCAAGAGGAGTTTAGTTTGCAGGTATGTGGTATGAAAATATTTGAACCTTTTCTTATCTCAGTTATCCATTCTTTTAGTACCAGCTTTACAGTATCATACGCTTTCTGATAAATAAGCCATGTAAAACAGGAATGTTGAAAGTTGACTATCCAAGTAGGACATCCCACTGTCTCTTGGTTTAATGATTACACTTTTTATTGGTGTCAAGCAGGAACAGTTTCCTGTCAGAAGGAAATGCTCTCTACATTTCTTCTGATCGATTAAGTCGTTTTATGTGACCTGAGAAGTCACCAACTTTGAAGAATTAACTTACACAGTACAAAGCAAGTATTGCTCCAATTACAATTAAAAAAAAAAAAAAAAGTTGATTAATTTCGACATCAGTGACGCATCCCAGCTTTCACCATAATTGTCTACTTCTGTGCTAAAACAACAGCCTTCAGCCCCAAAGCTTTGATGGCTCAGGCCGTCACGCTAAAACCATTTAATCCTATTTACTTTACATAGCATGTGAGAAAGTAAAAGTGCAGTCAGTGTGTCCTAAATAACCTTTTTACGCAACTATGCATCTGCAGGGCGCGCTCGCCCCCGGGCAAGTGTTGACGCTGTGTTTCACAGATTGTTGTGGGTCAGAGTGCACGTCTGATAAGGACACTTTGTTGTGAGATCTGTTTTGAAGTGCATCAGATGTTCACTGTAGCCTGCGTAAAAAGCACAGTCATATCAGTGCACTTCTGTGGAAAGTCGGCTGGAAACACTGATTTTGCGGTTTGATGTTTTCTGACACCAACATTGACTGTTCAATCTCCAACACCCCCCCCCCCCCAAAATGAAACATGTTCAAGTTGCGTTTTTGATTTATTTTGTATAAAAAAGGTACAATTTACATTACTTTTATAAAAAGTTTCAGCATAATTAAGTACAACATTACACTTCTGCAGAAGTTTCAAATTCCTGCAACTATACAAGATAAACTCCAGATCAGAGTTCACATGGTTTCATTCTCTCATTTTAACTTTTTTTGTTTTTTTTTGTTTAAACAACGTCCAGTCCTTCATGTGCCAACAATTCTGACAAGACAAGACTAAACTTTTTACAGTAACTAACCAAGTTGTCTTTTCTATTCACGTTCCCAACTCCGCAAAAAAAGCGAAGACTTCAACAAGGAGAGGGACAAGGGGGTGAGGAAGAGGGGGTGGAAATAATCCTTGTGACAATAATCTCGTTTTTCCTCCCACTGTCGGGAATATAACGCTCCTTCCATTTCCAGAAAGGACCCACAAATAAAAAAAAAAAAAAAAGTCTTAAGTTAAATAATAAGTGTCCAAACAGAAAACACAGCACATAAGATTGTCCCATAATAAGCAAAAGTCTCTTGATTTCAGCGTCAGAAAAAAAGAAAAAAATCCAGGCCTGGAGGACAGTGGTTGGATTTGGTGGGGGGGAGGTGAAGGAGGGAAGGAGGAAAGTCCTGCTCCCCAGGTCCTGTGTGTGTTTTTGCGTCTTGACCAAACACCTGCAAAAGATTGAGAAAGAGAGAGGCGTGTTTAGAAAATGCAAACAGGGCAGAGATCCGGACAGACTGGCGCCAGGGAGGAAGCCGCAGTTTTTAACATTTAACCAAACACTCCCAATACTAAGCAAACCCTGCGCTCCAGATGTACACACACACACACACACACACGCTCAGTGAGAGAAAGAGGGAGAAGGAGGGAGGCATACACACATACACTTTTCGCACAACTTCAGCCTACAATCTGGGGAAGAATCAGCGTAATTGCCGCTCAGCTGGCGCCTACCCACTTCTTGTACCAATTATGTGCAGACATCGTAGTAGCAGTAATCCAAACAGCCATTATTTTCCTGTTGCAGATGCTCTTCATTATAGACACAAGAGGCTATAATACAATCCTGAATGCTGCTACTTATACAGTAACCCAAGCAGCCTGGAGCGAAAATCTTCCTTTTTCATTCAGCCAAAGTCGATGCAAAGAATGTGAATCATTTGATTAATCTGAGTTAGATACTGAAACACTGAATGAGACAATATTTTGATCTTTTTTTTTTTTGTTTAACATACAGCTTGCAGCTATATTCGGGCAATTCAAATTATTCCAAAATCCCATTTTGGATTCAAGTTAAGCCAGCAATGTTCGTATGCAAAAACATATTGGGAGCATAGCATGAACGTGAGACGCCGAGCCACATTAGTAGCGAACAAACGGATTGGTAAATGGTAATTCTAGCCCGTGCATTCTGCCCCAGCAGACTGGAGGACAGGCTGTAGAGAAGCCCTGGACAGAATGCAGCAGCAGCACAAGCAGACATGAGGACAGCCTACTTACCGCTTTAACGATGCAGAGTCCGGCTGTCATCTGTCATCAGCTCTGATGGCAACTCCGGGGACTGAAAACAAACAAACACACGGACCAAATGTTAATTTTCTCCACGCAGCATCCGAAGACGAGGTAACGGCGTTGTAGCAGTGTTATTTAGGTCGAATATCTTCCTTATTTCATTCTGTGCAGAAGGAAAAAAGAAAAACATGCCATTTTCTTTTTTTTTTTTCTCCCCCAAATAAGCCATCTTGTGCGAGTTACGCATAGACTACAAAGACGCACAGGCAATGCGCACAAATACAAACCCGCCGGATATCTTCCACAACAAACCAGGCTTTCTACAGTGTAATTACCTGTAATGACAAGATGCTGATGTCTGTGTTGAGGGTAGTCAGAGGGGTCCTGGACGGAGCCTGCCCCGGCCGCGCAGGCTGGTGATGCAGGCTGGTGAGTGCGACACTGGAGTCCAGCGCGATCTGCAGGTCCAGGATGTAGTCGATGACATGCTGCAGGATTTCCATCTTGCTGACGTTCTTGTTCTGGGGGATGCTGGGCACGAGCTCCTTCAGCTTGGAGTAGCAGTCGTTCATGTTGTACAGCAGGCTGAGAGGGTCGTCCACTGGGGTCTTGCTCCGAGAGATTCCCAAGGAGTGCTCCGTTAGGTTGGCGTTGTTTTTCCGGAAGGACCGCACGGGGCTTATTGCTTTCATTTTCAAAGTGTTTGAGCTGAGCGCGAGGGAGGTTGTAATTGTGTCGATTATCTTGCTTCTTTTTAAGTCCTGTGTTTTTTTTCTTTTTGTTTTTTTTTTTCTTGTCAGACGACCAGCGATCAGACTGGATTACCAAGCTGTCAGTGTGCTTTATATAGGCAGCAGGCTGGACATGCGACACAGGCGGGTCTAGCACGCTGATTTGTCGACGTAGCGACGTCACTCAACGCCTTGACGCTCTGCTATTCGCTCCTCGTGTCTAAACCCTTCCCCTTCTCTAGCTTGTTACCAGTGGCAACGCATGTTGGAGGCGGAACCCGGAGAGGGCGCTTCGGCAGCTCTGGTGGGCAATTTGGAAAATTAAACCCCTACCTGTTTCTGATCAAGAAAATTAAAGATCCGCGAGGCTGTCAATTGTCTATTGCGAATTATGAACACGCGTGAAGCTGTTTCCCCTTCAAGTTTAGCATGTGTTGTGGTTTTGGAGAAGATCGAGCACAATTGTATTTGGAAACGTGTGGGCCATCAAATAATACAAAAGGTTCATGTCAGACTATAAAATGTGAATATATAGTGGAGTTGATTACAAAAGGCAGAGAAGGTTGATCATTTATTTAGTGTCAACCGTCTTTCATTATTTCACTTGAACCGATGCATTTAGTTAACGTGTGTTGCTTTGGAGGTGTGGAGCGGTGATGATGAGGACCACAACAGGCGCGTCTGATCATTCTTAATTCCCTTCAGCCTGGACCGGCGTGAAGACTAGTTTCTGCCACTGAAAACCGAGAGGTGTTTGAGTGGGAATGGGAAAAAGCTTCAAACAGGAAAATGGTCCGACCAAAACTAAGATCAATTATTGTGTAAGTGTTTTTACGCGTAGGAAAATGGACTACAGTTTAAGCCATTAAATACATGATTCTGTCTTTTTACGCACGTTAGGATTGTGTTTCTGCAAACAGCGATGTCTCAAATGAACCTCAGTGAAGAGCCTTGGTGAACATTTTGAGATTGATAGAAGATCTGAAAAGATTGTGGGTTTTGATGGACAACTCTCAAACCTGTCTTTAAATCAATATAGTCCTAACATTTGAAGTCGTCTAAGGGTTGTGTGTGCATCAGAGTCCAACTGCAATCGTGCAATTTCAAGCCAAAGTCTCCATGTGCCCTTACTTAGTTTTGACTGTGGGTTTGTCTATAAATGAATCAGTCAGGGTCCCGTGCACTTCAGTGTTGACCGCCACCTGAGTATGTTGTATGTCAAAGTTCATTTAGTCACGCTACAAATGTGCCTTTCATATCTGAGCACGTGAAGAGTTGATTAACTACTATTGACATTTTAATGTTTTCTGAATGAGTCGTTTGTTTGTAGGAATTACACGCTTCATTCTTCAGCTGGAGGAGATGGTGGAGGGGGGGCTGTTTGATGCTGCCACAAACTAATTGGCCCCAGGGGCTGTTGTTGGACTGTTGTTATGTGCAGGATTTTTTTTTTTTTTTTTCACTTTACAGATTAAATAAAAACCAATACATTTTTAAAGAGGTGAGAAGTGGGT